CCCGCAAGGCAAACGCAATCGTCGTTACTCATTCTCCACTTCCATTCGCGTGAAATGTTTATCGATCATGCAACGATCTGTTTCGCATGCTAACTAACCGTGTAAACTTTCCAGTGTAACTGACAGTACCGTTACATTTCCTAAACACTTTAAATTGTGGTAAAAGGACAGTTGAACAAATACGCGTCGACTAAGGTAAATCGCGAACGTATCCGTCGAAGTTTCTATTGAAAAATTTGTGACACCGAGTAAATCAGAATACTGGAACGGAGATTAAATTAAATCGGAAACAAACTGTGCTTTCCTTCCGTGTTTAACGTCGGTTTAAAAGCTTTAGTTACAGGCAATTATTTAGTAATAGGTTAATAATAGGTTGGTTCGCAAGGTACACGTGGCGGTAACGAAGAGGCAGAGGGTAAAGGATCGATTGAAAGGCTTACGTAGCAAAGCCATAGTAAAGCATGTCCGGAGAGTTTGAAAGTAGCAAATCGGCGAGAAAGCAACTTCCAAAAGTCAACACTTGTTTACAGCAAATGTTTGTTTGATAATCTCGTTTTGCTTCGAGATGGGAAACGTAAGGTACTCGGGAAGAAAAATAGATCCCAGGAGCGCAAACTAAAGTGTTTATCGAGAGATCCCAATAGGCGAATACGTAAGGTTTAAAATAACATACAACTTTATTTGCATACTTTTAAATTTATCGTTCTTTATTTCTGAGTATACAATCTGAATATTAAATTTATTATTTACATAGACTTTAAACGTATTGAAATCTTAGAAAACTGTATCTCTTCTTGCGATTGTTAAGCACGGTGTAAAAAATAGAGCCGTGCAATCGCAAGGAAACGGTTTCTGCTCGAAGCCGAAGACAGTTGGAGGATTAACATTTCGGCGAGGCGGGATGTTTCGGTGGAAAGGTTGGATCGACCGGTAGACAGGGAAAAGAGGGGATTTACCGGTCGATGGGAGGTGTGAGAGACAGTACGGTGCGAACGAGCGTGAAGTGGTAGAGGGTGTCGAGGGTGGGTAGGAGCTTGTTTGAGGTACGGATGCGTTTGTTGCGAGAACGGATGAGAGTGGATGCCAAGCCAAGGTGGAGTGGGTCAGTTTAGCTCTCCTCTCTCTCTTCCTCTCTTTACATCCATCCATGTATGGGTTTCTTCCCTGGTTTCCCCTCTTCCTCCTCTCCAGCCACACAGTTCAGCCCTTTTACACGGGGTATACACATGCAAAGCCTTGATCAACGCCCGCATTAGTTTTATTGCTCGCGACCGAGCGAAGGTTTAAACTACGAATAGTCTGAAAAAGCGTTGTTAGGATGATCAAAGATTCGAGGCTCCTTTGGACGAGCCACCACTGACTCTTCCTCCCTTTGACCAAGTCCGTCCGATGAAACGCTTTGATTGGTCAACTGCCAAACGAGCTCGATCGTTCTGATAACGATTTTGTTGCGGCACTCGCCGTGTACCGTGCGAAATTTTTATTTATATCGGACACGGGACTCGTTAACGCGTTCGTTTGTATTTTCAAATGGAGATTCGAGTTTCGATTTAGCGAATCAATCGGTTTTTCCAAATAATCCTCGTGTAAGAGTCAGGGAAACAGGATACGAGATTTTCTTCGCGCATTTTCGCGGCAGATACAGTCTTGCGTTCGGTCGGCGATAGCGGGACGCGAGTCAGGAAGCAATAAAAACGCGCATACCGATGGAAGGAGGAAAGTATTTCGGTTCGACTTTCCTCTTCATCGGATTCCGAGCGTGGTAGCCGAGGGAAAAAGTTGGCTCGAAGACGTATGTTGCTCGCGCCAGCGCGTCTACCAGCTCCGGATGAACCAGTTCTTGCCGCGTAGCAAGCACTTAAGCCGCGGCTTAACTGGGCTTAAAGCGTTGCTCGACTCGCTTTACTTCCGCCACGATCCGTTCCCTGACCGTTGCACTGCCGCGGCTTTTAATCGAGCCTCACCGGATTATCGAGACTCGCGATCGATCTTCTATCGACGGTAAAACTCTTTCTCTCTCTCTCGTCATTCGTATTTGGCAAAAAGAACCTCCATCATTCCGTGGATCCGTATCTTTCGAAATATTACGAAACTTGTACGCTCGTCAGCTTAGGAAACTGATTCGACCAGTTTTCACTCTTCCACTGATAAGTGTCTTTATCTTTTTTGAATTTCTTATAAATCACAACGTGTAAATTATGCACGGTGAATAATATATACATTTAAATAAAAATTCACGTTGTTACTCGTAGGTTACCATCATACATACGTACTTAACAACAAACTTCTGGATATCATCGACTTTGCTGTCTTCGAAAGTTCAAGTTTCCCAGCCTTCCTACGAAACGTTTCGACGTAATGAAACTTGCCTGTTTATCTTCCCCCTTCGATGCAGTGATTCCAGAAACAAAAAGATTCGACCTATCTTCGTTTTCGAGGGGTCGTGACTCTGGGAGTTCGAGACACCCCCAGGTGTACTTACCTCTGCATGCACAGCCCGTATGGCGATCCTGCCTCTCGTACCAGCACCTATTTTGCCACACCTTGCACTCACGACTGAAGACACAATTTTTAGTCCCTTTGATTTCTTTTTTTCTTCTTTTTTTTTGGAATTCAGCCCAAATCCGCACAAGAACGAATAATTATTAAAATAATTGTCTGACAAACTTGTATTTACTTCAGGTATCTTGATAAATAAATTATTTTTAAATAGCAACCGAGTTATTATTTAATTTACTTAATTTCTTTTCTGAGTTATTATTTAATTTACTCAGTTTTCTTTCTCAGTTTTATTTAGATAATTTACTGAACTGCTTTCCTGAATTATTTACTTTTCAATGCGAGAAGTTTGACTTAGAGGGAGGTGAAAACTTAGTCAGTCTTAACGCGACCGCTGAACGGTGCGGATTTATCTGTCAAACATACTAACACCTTTCATTTATTTTTAGAGTTTATTTAATTTATTTAATTTATATTCTTAACTCAGTGAATAAGTTCACATGAGAGATTAGATTTATAATTTTATCCTCTTATAGGCCTCAGCCGACCATCCATTATTATTATTATTATTTTATTCCTCTTTATGGGCCTGGCGGGATCCACCCCTGTTTTAATATTTCTTTAACTCTTACATCCCTTGCTGCATTCCTACATCCCTGACATTCCAGCGTCCCTTACATCCCTGTATCTTTTACATCCCCATGTCCATCACATCCCTTACATTCCGTCATTCCTTTTATTCCGGTTTCTCTTACATCACAGCATTCCTTACATTCCTTCATCCCTTCCATTCCGGTATCTCTTACATCCCAGAATTCCTTACATTTCTTCATCCCTTTCATCCCGGTATCTCTTACATCCCAGCATTCCTTACATTCTTACATTCCTTCATCCCTTACATTCTTGCATCCCTATGTTTACCATAATAATTATACATATAATCATGGCTACGTCGAATCAGCGCCCTCTAGCGGCAAAAATGCGAACTAAATTTTCGATGTCGGATCAGCGCCCTCTGGTGGCGAAAAAAGGAACTAAACCTTGCAACATTTTTGGCCCTCTGGCGGCAAAAATGTGAACTAAATTTTCGATGTCGAATCAGCGCCCTCTGGTGGCGGAAAAAGGAACCAAACCTTGCAACATTTTTGGCCCTCTGGCGGCAAAAATGTGAACTAAATTTTCGATGTCGGATCAGCGCCCTCTGGTGGCGGAAAAAGGAACTAAAGCTTGCACCATTTTTGGCCCTCTGGCGGCAAAAATGCGAACTAAATTTTCGATGTCGGATCAGCGCCCTCTGGCGACGGAAAAAGGAACTAAACCTTGCAACATTTTTGGCCCTCTGGCGGCAAAAATGTGAACTAAATTTTCGAGGTTGAATCAGCGCCCTCTGGCGGTGAAAAAAGGAACTAAACTTTGCAAAATTTTTGGCCCTGTTGCGGTAAAAATTTGACTATAAAAGTTAAAAACTAATTATAAAGGGACATAAGGGATGCAATATATGCAAGGAGTGCATGGAATGCAAGGAATGCAACTAATGCAACGAATGCAAGAGATACTAGGAATACAAGGGGTACAAGAGATGGAAGGGGTGCGTGGGATGTAAGGATAGCAAGAGATACAAGGTACCAACGTGATACACGGAATACAAGGGACATAAGGAATGCAATGGATTCAAGGGATGCTCGGGATACAAGTGTGGGAATCGTGAGGCCCAAAGGTGAAGTAAAATAATAAATACCTGAGATAGGTGGGCATTGGCTTATAAAGTGGTATGAAATAATAAATCATTGGAAGGGATGGTCCTCGCAAGGTCCTTAAAGGGGAATAAAATAATAAATAACAGAGGAGGGTGGGCTTTTGCCCATAAAAGGGGAAAAACTAATAAATAATTGGGATAGATTGTCACCTTGTGGTCTATAGAAAGGAGTAAAACAAATAACCGTAAAGGATAAGGTGATGTGTAAATAATAAATGAAAGAGATAGTAAGCCGAGGCCCACAAGAGGGTTAAAATTATAAACTTCATCTCCCTTATGGGGGAGAAATTAGGTAAATTTGGAAAATAAATCAAAGGTATATGTATGTTCGAAAGGTAGATCCGCTTTCTTCGGCGGTCACGATAAGAGTGACTAGGTTTCACCTTGCTCTAGGTTGAACGGTGGACAGCAATGCCCGATCAGTTGTGACGTTCCGCTTCACCGCCGCTGCAGCCGGTTATCTTTACTCGAATTAAAATTTATTTAATTATAATTTTTAATTTTGTAGTTGTCTAGTAACTAAATTATTGTTGTAACTATTGAGATTTATTATTTTTACGCGTAAATATCTTGTATAATTTTATTTAATTATGATTATTACAATGTAATTAATTTATTGGTTTTATAACTTTTATCTGTAATGTCCTGCAAATTTTTATTAATCATTTGTCTTTAATAAAATATTGAAAAGTAATTACTGTGTTTTAATTTAAGTTTGATTTGGGTAAATTAAATAATAAACCAATTGCCTTTCTAAAATAATTTATTTACCAAGGCACACGAAGCGAATACAAGTATCTGTGATAACTGTTCGAACTGAAGACGTTCTAATATCGGATCTCGTGTCGAAGACTGTTGAACTTCGAACTCTCTTCCAAATGTTTCATTATCCTTGAAATTTTCACTACTTCCGGGACCGCGAACGTTCCAGTCTCTCGAGGTTTCCGTGAAACTCGATGCTTTCAGAGGACTCGGTAGCAGCAAGATTTCCTGTTTAACTTCCCTTCGTCATTGTGAACGTCTTAATATTTTAGTTTCGCGGCTTCCGAAGATTCGGAACTTCCCGTCGAGTTTCACGAGCGTCGATTAACCTCGAGATTTCGCAAACGATAAATTGAAAACACTTAGAAACGGAAACGGTGGTCGATGCTCGATCGCGCTTACCTTCTAATTATACATCGACACGAATTTACTCGTCGATAGTATCGCAATATCGTCTAAGAAACTACCGGGATGACCCAGTTAGATCGAAACGGTCAGCCAGGAGTCACAATTGTAACGGAATCACAGGGGTCGATCTCTCGACGATCGAGGCCTGAGAACGAGTAGGTATATCGCAGGGAGGACGATGGATTTCCGGCGACCCTTTATCGAATTCGACGAGCAAGGATATCCTAAGTCGACTCCCCCGGAAGGTTCTGATTTCTCCAGGGGCGGAAGCCAGATTGACCGAGAAACGTACAAAAATTGAGGGACTATGATACTCCCTTTGACTCCGAGCATCGATTTCCTTACTCCTACCTATAATCACATTGACGCAACGCGTTTCTTAGAAATCCGTGATTTGCCTTTTCTCAGAGGAACGCAAGAAATTTGACGCAACTATTTTGAAATATAATACCTCTTGAAAGTGAATACCTGAGATGACAGAGTTTCAGGTATGCGCTCAAAATTTCCTGCGTTCTTTACTATCTCTCGAAGAAAAACAAGAAATTTCATTTTAACAAAATTCAATTTTTTACCAAAAGAAATAAAAATAATACTTACACTTAGTTCGATTCCTGCTGCCGTTCCAACCACTGCTTTACCCGCTGGGATATTTATTACCGTGCGGCGTTATCGAATGGCCCGTCGTGGTGAAAATCGCGAGGATTTCACTTAACGGTGCCCCAGCTGATTGCACGAGGAACGAGATGACGGCACGGGTCTGCCGGTGCCGCGGCGATAGACGTGCACACGTGTGTGCAGAAACGGGTTAAAACGGAACGGAATGGTAGGCGGAATGGAGCGGAATGAAAGGAAGAGGCAAGTTAAGTCGTAGAAGAAGGAGAGAAGGAAAGGGTGCGCTGGGAAGGGATTCGAGAAGGGCCTTTGACTGGCGCACGAAGGGGGGACCAAAGTAACCCCTCAGGTTGCTCGGTCTGCAAGGGTGCGCGATATTGATTCTCGCCTACCACTTCCACCGACGACGTTGTACATACTACCTGTACGCGACTGCTTCAAGCTGCTGGTTGTCTCCCTCGCAGACGGTGGCTCGTTGCACGTCTCAACGAGCCACCACACGATCCAGCCTTTCCTGGCCGTCCATGCTATCATCTCTTCTTCTCTCCTATCATCTCGTCCCTGATAATCGATAACGATCGCTGGCTCGAGTGGCTGTTCCATGGGATAAGATCTTCGACACCTTTCGATAGATAGCGAACGACCGATTTGCGATACTCAATTGGACGATGAACGAAAAAGATGAATCGAGATTCGATAGCCCCTCGATAATTCCCTGTACCTACTCACGCACGTGCGTGAACTTTGTACGCGGTGAATTATCAAACGAACGAAATTGACCTGACCGATTTAGTTCCCTCGTAATTTATGCTTGTCGTCGATGATTTCATCTCCGCGATGGCGTCTATCAGGTGCACTTGCAAAGTTACGTGTAATAGAGCCACGCTGCGAGGTTACTCTATCAATCTCGACCGTTTAGCAACGTCGAAGCACGCCGGTTCGTAGCCCTCTCTGCGAGTTGCTGCTTCACGCGATGATCTTATCTTTCACGGAGCAACGAGATTAATAACGCGAGATCGAGCTGCCTCGGAGTTTGAGTCGGTCGATGGAGAAAATAAGAGCGATCCGAGGGATGAGAGAAAGAACGACGGAGAGAAAGGGAAGGATGCTGGCTGGTAACGGACAAATACAAGACAATGAAGATTAATGTTTCAGCTTGGTTCCCTGACCGTGCTGTTAGCCGACAGCACCGTGCGAACGGACTTTTCGATAATCTGTAGGGACGTTCTCTTCTCTTCTCCTCCTGCGGTTCCCTCGTTCCTACGTTCAATTGCCTTTTCAATCGTCGAAGCACATATGAAATTATTAAACTACTTTGTTCCGTTACGATTGAAGACGATTATCAAGGCTGACCCGACTCGAATTTTATTGCAATATTAAAATTTATACTAAAAATTGAATAATAAAGAAGTTTTCTTTTTTGATTTACAGACCAGCAGTCGGCGTGACATGGATGTGAGCTTCACGAACGTATTAGAGGGGGCTCGCCAGTACTTCCAGGGACTGCCGGTACCGAGTACAGGTGGTGCGACCGCGTCAGCGGATCACAACCTCGCAACATCAACGAGTTCCGCCTCGTCCACGTCCACGTCCCACGAGCATGGCACCGCCTCCGTCACCGTGGCCCCTCCGTCACCGGCACCACCCGCACCGTCAGCACCACCGCCACTATCGTTACCGTCGCAATCGAATCCGGCTACAAGCAGTGCTAACAGCAACACTAACAGCGCCAGCAATAATAACAACACCGATCAACAGACCACTCGATATCTCAGCGATGTCAGACCATCGTCGGTGGACAATGCTGCGACCAGTTCCAGTGGTTTCTGGAGTCCATCGGTCGAACCTTATCCTCCGCAACCGACCAGGGTCGAAGTGCCGGATACGAGGCCAGGCGATGAAAGCCCCTCCATGGAGGCAAGCTCCTCCTCCAACATCATCACTTTAACGGAGATGCAACCATCGAATAGCCGATCCTCCTCGGCGTCTACTTTTTCCCAGAAACAAGCCTCGTCGTCAACCTCGTTGAACGATCTTCATCATCGTTCGCAGCCGACGACGACTGCCACCGCGCCAAGTTCGCCGCGTTTGCACCAAATGCAACCACCTCCGCAACCGCACTCGCCGGCACCGGTGTACCAGCAACTGAACCCTGTCGGTAGAACGTCCTTCTCCACGGCGGAGATACTCGCCTCGACTCACCAGTCGACCTATCAAACCGCCAATGATCGACAATCTCAATCGAGCGCACCGGTCGTTGTACAGAGAACTCAGTACTATCCCCGTTATCATCACCCGGACATCACGAAGAGCGCCCCGGTTCCGTTCAGTCAGAACTCGATCTACCAATCGTCCAACGTAGCGGCGCCGTCCTCGGGAAACGTTCTGCCGCCAACCAGGACAACACCGGCGGAACAGAGCAACCTTGGCTCCGTTCCTAGCCAAGGCCGAGTTCAAGAGCAAAGGGTGCCCACTTGCTACGGTAACAACGCGATCCCGCCGATGAACACGGCTTCTAATTATGGCCCGTCCGCGTCTCAGAATTACCGAGCCTCCCCGCATCAACAGCAACAGAATCGATCAAGCTCGTCGACAAATTCGCATTTGGACAGATCGCACTCTTCGCGCCTCTCTTCGTCTCCGTCCTGTTCCTCGGCGAATCCGTGCAGCCCTCGTCACGCCGGTAACGCGAGTCACATTCCTTCGTCGTCTTCGTCTTCGTCGTCGTCGTCGTCTTTTCAAAATCTTCCGGCACACATTCCTTCGTCGCATATGCCGTCTGCCGGAACCGTGCACCCTCAGCATCATCCTCAACAACAGCAACAACAGCAGTCATCTCAGATGCAGCATCAACTTTCTAGTCGAATAAACGCGTCACCGCATTCGATCGGCAACCAGTCCTACGGCGGTCGAATGATGGTTCACGGGGTCTCGGCGTCGTCGTCGTCCTCCTCCTCATCCTCCTCATCTTCCATCCCAGCCTCCTCCTCGTCGAATCAGATGCCACCACCACCACCGGCGCTAAGCGGTTATCATCCTGTCGCTTCACCCCATGACGTTCCTCATCACGCCACTCCATCGCCGCACAGACAATCCCCTCACGTGTCCACCCTACACAATCCTCACGCTTCGCCCCATCACACTCCCTCTCCTCACAGTAGCTTCCAGCCACACTCACCGACTTATCCGCCACCACCTCCGCCGCCGCCGCCGCCGCCGCCGCCACCATCCGTCGCTACCTCCACCCCTCATTCGTACAACCTTCCGATTACGACGCAGCATTACCAGCCGAGTACCGGATACGCCGCTAACCCGTACGGCATGCCGCCCCAGTCTTCGTATCATTCCTTCCAAAAGAATTCTCAACCGGTGCACACGCAACCAGCCGCCAGTTACTATCCTCAGTCCGGTCGATCTCAGAGCCAGCCGTACGTACAGCAAATGCCGATGCCTGCACCGCCGCAATCGATCTGCTCCGGAAGCGGAAACAGCAACGCTGGCACTGGTTATCAGCAAAGCAAACCGGTCACCTACAATGGCGTTGATTCGAAGAGAAACTCAATGGAGCTACCCTATGGATCCTATCGATCTCCGCAGACGTCCGTTCCGAGAGGCGGTAGTAACACGCACAACCTTCCACCCATCGCAGCCCTCTCTTCCTATCATTCGAACAGGAGAGAAACCGCGAGCAAAGCGCAAGCGATGCAACGGCAACGTGCCTACTCAGCAGCGAGCACAACGAACAAAGTTTCGGTCGTAACGCCGCCCATTTCCTCCTCGATGGCCGCGCCTCAAAGGGTACCAGAGTATCCCGTAACTCTGGCCGGTATGAATCACGCGATGCCGGTGAACGGAAGGACGACAACGGTGACGAATTCCTCTTACAGCAGATACGCGAACCAACACGGTTACTCTACCTACGCCACCACCATGGCTCCCAGTCACCACGCCAATAATTCCTCCAGCAACACCACCGTCACCTCGATCGGCGTCAACGTCGCGACCAGATCTTCCGCTCCGGCTACCACGATGCACGCCTATGCCACCGACGCCAGTAGTCGCACGCCATCCTCTTATCACCTGCAGCCTGCACCTATAAGAGCCAACGAAGATTACGGATACAAGGAGTACCCTTATCAAAATTCCTCTACACCTACCGTTCAGTCCACCCTCGCCTCATCCATCGTCACTCCTCCCCCGCAAACGAACGGTGTTAGAAAGCGAGAATCCCCGTTGGATCTGTCCGTGAAGACGGTGAAGACGTCGGCGGACTCGACCGCTCAGGACGACGTAGAAACGATCGCGACGGACAAACACGTTACCAGTTCCACCGTCGTATCCTCGAGAAACAACAGCGCGAGGACGATGCTGCCACCCCCTGCGCAGCCTCCTCCGCAAACAGCCACCTATCCCGTTTACGACAATCGACCATCGAACAACAACACCGCAAGAAGCTTACCTCCGACTAGCAGCAACGTTCGAACGTCCACGCCTCAAACGGTCTGCGCGCCCAAGGTTGACTTTCTACCGAATTTCAATTCAGCGCCGCTGCGCAATCATCACGGCCAACCGCACGAGAATACTCTTCAACGGAGAAGTTCGACGCAACAGCTCTACGCTCCGCCCCCGCAGTCTCAACATCCTAATAATACCGCTCCACTGCCCCACATGTCCACCTTTAAAAAGACTTTACTGCCTACCACGCAGGTGTACGACGGAGTAACAGCGCCAGCGCCTCCTCCACCGGCTCCGCCATCCTCTTACCTGTCGGCAAACGACACGAGATCATCCAGGTATCCTGCATCCATGTTGGATCCCGCCAGAATAGGTCCGGCCGCGTTGCCGCTTCAAGACTACCCGCCGTCCGATCCGTCGAAATATTACCTGGACAGTAGAAATAAATTCGGTCAGCCTGCGCCTGTTCAGAGGGATCGAACCGGCTGCAAGAGGCCCGGCGAGACGATCTACGGTACCGGAGGGCCGAACAAGCAACCCAGGCTCGACATGTGGATCCAACAGAAATTGTCAACAGCGAAGGCTTTGTACGAGCAACAGAAACGACAGGAGATGAATTTACCTGTACCTCTGCCGAACGGCACCCTGGTCGCGCCTAACACCTACGAGCAGAGATCGGACAGCGGTTACTCGTCGTCCGAGTCGTCGAGGTATCAGCAAGCGTACTGTGATAAGAGGAGCTACGCGGAATCGAAGGTTCCTCATAGTTCGCCGGCGTACAATCATCCGGTTATCGCGAAACCCGCGAACGTTCACTCTCTGCCCCAATCGCCGAGCACCGGTCATTCCGCTTATCCGAATTATCGTCCGAGTCAGAAGGCAGCAGTTCCGCCGCCCCTCGGCGCCGCTTCTGGCGGACAACCAGCGGAACCACCGAGCAACACCGGGGCTGATAAACGAGTACTCAGTTTGCTGAGGAACAGCCTGGAAAATAAACAACAGAGGGAGGAACAGCTGAACAGCCAACAGCCTATCCTGGCTAACCATGGTCAACAGAGTTTCCAGAACAAGGTAAGAGGCGTCGTATCGAACGAAGAAATTCTCATCAAGTTTAGATCAGATATTCATAGAATCATAGAAACCATACGAAACGGTACTTCTCCTTTCGAGAGATTAATGTAAACGTCATTCCGGATGTCGCGTTAACTCTCGGAAGTAAGAAGAGCTGTCTGTTAACGGGCGGATGCTACTCTATTCCCAAAGGTTGTTGCACCGGTCGAGCCGAAAACGAACATCGGAAGACACAACCTGTCACCGTTCACAGCGGCGAGTTTGCTGGAACGAAACAGCAACACGCCGCCCCATTACAAGTTCCATGTGCCGAGAGCCATAGACTCGATCACTCAGGAGGCCCCCCGTAGCTTGTACGGCTCCAGAGTAAATTCATCCGCCACGCTACCTGGCAAGGAAGCACTCCTGGGACCCCGAGGAGCGGAGAATCAGATCCACCGTGACAAAGACGACGGCCTCGCCGCCATATTAGCCGCCAAGATCAGAACTAAGGCGGAACTTAAACAGGTGAATGAAACGACGATATCTTCTTACCCTGTGCTCGCTTAACGTCCGGATACACAGGTTGTTGATGTACATCCTTTTCTCTTATTTTCTCTCCAAGGTGGGAACTGGCCACTTCACGAGCAAGCCAACGACCGTACCCTCTCAAGATTCCTCTTCAACGCCGAAGGGTATTTTTCCTATTATTATTTAATATTATTTTTAGTTTTGAAAAATTTTATTCACCCTATGTGTTTCTCGTTTTCTTCTTTTTAATCCTAGAACCGGATAGCGCTGCGTCGACGTCTACACCGCAATCTGGCTCATCGGCGGGTAGCCCGCCAAAGTTGACCCGCGAAAAAGTCGCCTGTCTACCACCGAGAAGACGGCTGTTCTCCAGAACGGAAGAAGAGAACATGCCGGTGGCCGCGACGGTTCCTGTTCCAGTTCCTGCGCCCGCGATCGCTTCAAGCGTGCCAGCGCGAGCCAGCGGGTTCAGAAGTTCCTCGGAGACTTCGGTCTTCGACTTCAGGGAAAGCGATTCCGAGGGTGAGATGCCGGTCTTGGAACGACAGACACTCGAGGAGATGAGGAGGGACAGGAAACAGCTGACCAAAGTGCAACCACCGGTTCCTCTCAACGATGCTATGTGTATGAGCATGACCTCGTCGACGGATCTCGTGAAAATAGAGTTAAAGGTATGATCGATCCTTCGAGAGCCTAGTACATTTTTTCTAATACAATTTATAATTACACTTTTCCATTGTTGCGTTCAGGAGAACGACAAGATCACCGAGGTGGACACGTTCTGGTCCAGCACGTGCGACAAGTTCATGGAACAGCTGCGAACCGGGGACGCGATGAAGAAACGAATTCGCAAGAAGAAAGTAAGCTGCACGATCACGTCGAAACTCGAGGACACTGGCAACGAGAGCAGCAAAGAGTCCGATCCCAACACGTCTCAGATCAAACCTGAGGACATTAAGAAGGAGATAGAGGATGTTGGATCCCCGGTGGACGTCAAAGACGAATCCCCAAAAATACCTATCAAGGAAGAGGAGACTCCGATGATTAAGGAAGTGAAACTGGAACTGAAGGTCGAGCCAGAGGTCTGCAAAGAGGATACCAAGAACTCCAGTGACGAGGAGGTGCCGCTTATTCGACGGACCAAGAGGAAAGGTAAGAAAGACGAGAGCGATTGCGAAGAGGAATTAATATCCAGGAAGAGGAGAGTTCGTCGAGGGAGCAGAATCAAGTTGCAGTCGTCCAGTGGTAGTGAATCTTCCAGCGAAGAGAGCGATGCCAGTACCGAATTCGGACCTGGTTCCACCGTGGCTGACAGGTTGAGAGCTAGAAAACGCAGCACCACGAACAACGTAGACTCCGAGGGAATGAAACTGAGATCTAGGGATACAACGCCACAGAAAGCAAAAGGGGAAAAAGAATCGAAAGGCTCTACCTCGAAGACAACCGCGACCACCCAGAAGGGTAAACCGAAGCCTCTCTTCGGGGATGGTAGTGATTTTAGGCCTGGCTGGGAGGAGGAAGTATACGTGTACAAGAAATCATTAAGGATGCCACCTAGATTGATAACTGTATCGAAACCGTCGAGGTTTCACAGGTTATCCACCTCGTTACCTGACCTGGACCCAGGATCTCCCGCGTTGTCCGTGTCGATGGACAGTTCTGACGTGTGTTTGGGTAGGAAAAAGGTCGTGGACAGTGATGTGGAGTCAAACTACAGCTTCAGCACCGCGACGTTTGGACTAGGTAGCAAGATCGACGACGAAGAAGCAACCTCCTCTACCACGATCTCTTGTCCTCCGAAGGCTATGAAACACTCGAAGACAGAGGGTAGTTCTATCGTTGACGTTCTAGCTCAGAAAGTCGGTACCAGTAAGAAGGAGCAGAAGAGGAAACAGAAGGAGAAGTTGGATAAGAACGGTGGCAAGCTGCTTCAGAAAGGTAGCAACGAGCCGGAACTACTTCCGACCCCGAGTCTGACGCCTTTGCTGGAAACATCGAAAGGCAAGTCCCCTGTGAAAGACAAGTTACTGAAGCCCATCAAAGTGACCGACTCGTTCTTGCTCGGCTACTTCCGCAAGGAAACTGTTAATAACTTCCGAGACACGTTCAAGAACAATCACGCTTTACCGAACGAGTTCTCCACGCTGGTGCTGAAGAGCAGGACGAGGACCGAGACGCGGGTGCTGAAGAAACAGGCAACGATCAGGGAAGTATTCGGCGAGGACAGACCAGCTTCGGCGCCTCCGATGCAGAACCACGATGACACTTCTCAGGACGATGATTCGCAGAACGAGACACCGGAGAACACGTTGGGCAAAGTGAAGACGTTGAAACAGAAAGTGGTCTCCCGTTTGAAGAACGTCGGCATCTTGAGGAGTCACAAAGCGATCATGAACTCAAAACGTCATCTGTTGATCGCGAAGAGACGAAAGGATCTGTTGAAATCGTTGGCCGAGAAGAAGCTGCAAAGCCTGAAGACGGAAGTTGACGAAGAGGCGACTCACGAGGAAACGAACGACGCGCAAGAAGTAGAGAACAACGAGCTAGACGACGAGACCAACGAGTCGGAAGTTCCTAACAAGAAGAAGCTCAAACTACGGACCAGCCGGCGAAAGTTCCGCTCCGGATTCGACTATATCCGTAAAAAGAAGAAGCCGTTGAAGAAGGACGAAACGTTACCTAAAGAGAGAAAGAGGGTATGTTTTAATTAACAGTTAATGAGAATCATTGCTATGGATCGATGGATTTATGGAAAAACCTGTGTCTTACAGCAAGTACTGGCGAGGCCGAGTCCAGAATGCGTTGCAGACATTCAATCGGAAATTAGGACCTGGGTAATCAAGAAGGGTGTCGGTGAAACGATGCTGCATCGAGCCGCGAGACTCGGTTACACGGTAAGAAATTTCTTCCTGTTAATTCAATCACCATCATTCAATAAATGAATAATACTCAATATAAATTGAAAATTTATATTATCTTTGTAGGATGTCACGGCGTACTGCTTGGAGAAGCTGAATAACGCACCGAGTCCCAAGGATAACGCAGGTTACACGCCTCTCCACGAAGCGTGTTCGAAGGGTCATCTCGAGATCGCGAAGCTGTTGCTCGCGTACGGAGCAAACGCCAGCGAAAGTGCCAACGGAGGAATAAGGTAACTTCTATCAAAATCTATATCGTTTAAACAATATTAATATTGCAGTTGCAAGTTATTCAAATCTGTTTGTTATTATCTAGGCCACTTCACGAGGCGGCAGAAAATGGTGCTACGGAGCTTGTACGCCTGTTACTTTCCTACGGAGCTGACCCTCTGTTGGCTACTTATTCTGGACAAACCCCGCTGATGCTGGCCGCGGAGACGGACGCGTACTCGATTCTGGAGCAACATTTGGACGACATTCAGGGTCATGCGAGCACGCCTTGGTCGTTCGGTGGTCCATCTACAATTTTCGGTCAGTTACAATTTTCATAAAGGATCCTCAATGATTATTCATTTCAAATCTAAGCGACGATTGATTTTATTTCAGACCCGGAAGAGACCGGTTACAACCCTCTGGACGATCCGCCGATGAACAATCCAGAGCCAGAGTTGGACGAAATCGAGATGGAAGTGAGCGACGTGAACCTGCCAGTTTTGTTCTCCCTTACCAACGATTCCGACAAATGGGTGCTCATGCAGGACTTGATGGCAGCTCTAAGGATAAAAAGTCGGGACGCTTTGCTGCGCCAAGTGAATCCTAAAGCGTCGTCCGGACCACCGGCTGTCGCCCATCGCGAGGTAATGAAAGAACTGAAGCTCCAAGATTTCTTGGAACAATCTCGTTGCTGCCACTTGCTCAGCGGTGGCGAGAGGATCAACGTGCGCGGCTCGAAGGTGACTCTGATCAAGTACAACGATAAAGTGAGGTCCCTGTTGAACGCGGAGAAGGTGGTGATCAGTCTCAGGTGACAGGAGGCGTCACTGGGGCGGTGTTCACCCCAGGCTAAACCGTCGACTTCCAGCGCGAAGGAAGCATCGAAGAAGAACTCGAGCGTTTCGCCGAAACGCGAGAGGCAAGGCAGAACGCGACAGGGTAACAAGACAGCTATCGCGGATTGAAAAAACGTGGCTGAACTGTCCGATGTCCAGGTTTCAAGCACCTGTAACACACATCGAAGTTTCCTTCTTAGTCCGTGATTATTGAAGCACATTGTACGGCGAACAAGGTGCATACACGATGTGCGGTGCAAAATCGATTTAGGTAAAAGTTTAGAATGGATCGAAGAGCCGAATACCGTCGAGTGTGTCAGCGAACACAGTGACACAATGTTTAATTATTAGCAGTATTTATTGGCAGATGTTCTACGCTACTATTTGCGGATTACAGTGATATTTTATTGACATACTGCGTGAGACGAGCTGACGCGATGATCGGGTTTTTAAATACAACGCTTCTCTACGAAGATTGTCGTCGTTCCTGTCCGAGCATACTTGTACCATATTTCGATAACTACTTAATCAAACGACTCGATTCGAACGCAAGCCGAATAGCTTGGGAGCAAAAACCTCGCGAGAAGAATTACTCGAGACGATATCATACGAGATTCTTCGAAAGATATTTTTTTTATCGTCACCATAGGAAATGCTGGTATGTTTTTACGCGCTCCTGTTTCGAATTCGATCGTTGGTTCGGATGAATTGATACTCAAGAGATAGGTTTTCAAAGATGTACGAGAAACAGACACTGTAATAATTGTATATTCTTTTACGTTCTCGACACTTCGATCACGTTTGTTGCGTTAGCTGTTAATAGAAAACGAGACAATTTAACTCGTAACATCGATACGTCATCGAGAGTTTTTCTTTTTTTTTTTTCACGTTACCACATTGTTAGTTTCGTTTCGTTTCTCATTTCTTGTCTATTGCTAGCGAGTCAATTGTAGAGTATAATTCGGTTGATTATGTTTATCGTATAGGTTTAAGCAAGCGTTGGATTTAACCGTCGAAAGCGAAGCATTTACGTTTTTTTCGTCCCCCCGTTTATTACCGTTGTATCTTCCTTTCCGTTCTGTTTTTATCCTGGGATGTGCAATTTCGTCAATTCGCTTCTCGTTAAACGATTACGAGCCGACCGACGACCGATGAACGCGATCGATTAAGGAAAAAGGAAAAGGGTAGGGAAAAAGAAAAAGAGGAATCGTTGGATCACGAACGTGTTATCGGACAGCGATCGGATCGTCCAGTGTTCACTGTGCAATAACCCTCGTCAAACCGGCGACGATTGGTTCTCAAATTAGCGATTTCCGTTGACCATGTTACAAATTAAGTTTAATTGTTCGCTTTAGAAGCAGGAGGACGAGCGATCGACGCGTTCACTGTTGCCTAATTGTATCAATTTTAACGTTTGTCCTCTCTAAAATATATATTAATATTGTTTAAGTTTTTCCATTTCCTTTTTTTTTTTTAGAGTTCCATCTAGATGTGTTGAATATTAACGTACTTCCTCGTTATTCTTGATTTTAATATAAATTAAACGATATTCTTAATTGAATGTTTCATTGATTAACCCTCGAACGATGGATCGCTGAAACAGTTTAACAATTTTTTATTTTAATTTTCTTAGTTTCAGATCGAAAGTCTTCCGTTTAAAAATGTTTTAGGTCACGATTGACCCTGCTCCACCGGTCGAGGGTTAACGAAGAATCAATTTCTCGATGTGATACGTGATTTAGCGATCGAGTTATCACGTTCAGCAGTGAACGCGTTAATAATCGACGCGATACGATACATAAGGAGTTTTAATGAAAAGGAAAAAGAAATCTATTTTAAGCGTCGACGGACCCGATGTATTCACGTACTTACGAATAGAAAGCTCCTTACGTGTTGCAAGCTTCAATATGCGTTATTGTTTATCGTAAACCATACTAGCGCGCGTTTCATTTCACTTTGCATACACAAGATTTTCAATTGTTACGATCAGTCTCAGGGAACTGTCTATCTGTATGCGTAATCGCGATTATCCTATGCGTTCAATGGATTGAATAGAAACGCGGCCAGGCATCATCCGTGCTCGATCAACGTACGAACGTTTATTAAGGATGTTTTTAATTTAATTAGTCCACGGGTGCGGTGTAAAATAGACGAGGAAACGTGTACGAGAATTTGATCGAGCACAGATCCCCTCCTCGTTTGCTGGCCGCGCTCTCGCTGCTGCTCGTTAATTTTATTTAGCTGATCATTTACACGGATATTAAACGCGGACAGTGGTGTGCAGTTAACGCGTGTACATACCTATTTTCGAATAAGAAACGACGCGCGCGGTCTACGGCTAATCAGGGCCCTCCCCCGTTTCGCATCGCGGCGTAAAAGCTCGTCGGTTATCCGTGTAACGAGCGGGGATAACGGGTGAAATTAGAAGAGAACGAATAACCCGCAAAGGTGCAAGATAGATGTGGGAGTGGACGAGTTTTGAAACGGTAATCGAAACACATACACTTCTGTGTACGTATTGTGCGTAATGTACCTTTTTAAATGTAAAGTAGACGAGATACCGAGCAATAGCGTGTAAGTAGAAGAAAGACGCTTGTTCATATTATTAGGGGCGTCTGTCGCAGGTGTAATTGCGTATAAGAATGCATACAAAACGATGAGAACAGTACCGGCGTTTTAGAGAAACTTGCGTTATTTCGGCGAAACCTTGAACAGAAAGGGTTGCGCCATCGGGGTCTTGTAAATGTATATATATAAAATCTTTCTCGCAATATAGGGGCTACGCAGATACTACCGTGCTACTAATTATTATTAATTAATTAATTAATTATTATTATCGTTAACTATTTACTATTACCGGTCACCGATTACTACGACTACTACGATTACCGCTAATTACTATTACTATTTGCCACTACCACTGCTACTACTATCACTACCGCTACCGACGACAAACTATTATATATTATTAATTACCATTGTCACAACTATCCGCTTTTTTTATTGTACGATATATACATAATAGCGAACTATGAATGTACATTTTCTTAGCTGTAACGTTCTACCCCCATCCCCTTACCCCCATCTCGATTGTAATTTATAATTAATATAAAAGGATACATCTAAATGTGTTAAAAGGAAAAAAAAGTGAAGAAGAAAACCGCTACTGCTTTGCGAGAAGAAGGAATTCTATGTGAGAGAAGAACAAATATATATATATATATAAATATGAATATATATGTATATATACGTACATATACATATATTTTATTTCGACAAAAAAGATTTAATTTAATGGATATGATAACGTTAGAAACGCGACGGTGATGTATGCAAATTAAATTCTCTCTGTGATTCGTCTAAAGAAATATGTAACTAAGGAAGTAGAAAAGAAAAAATAACGAAGAAAAATGGCAAAAGAGTTATTATCATTTAACAAGCATTAATTAGTATTATTATTGTCATTCGTCATTGCTCCGTACCATCAAAAGTTTAGCGAAGAATAAAAAAAAAAGAAAAAAAGTTAAAATGGAACGACAAACTCGATTTTCGTAATGAACTCGACTCGTGAATTTTCTTTTCGCTAATAACAGTAACGAGTTATCCTATTGATGTAATAAAAAAACAAGTATTTTTACCGATCTCTCTGTGATCTTTGATTCATTCACATTCCCTATTACCAATTAGCGTTAAGTTTCAGTTCAGAACGAGGAGCAGGGGAGGTGACGCGTGGTGTTCACGAAAGGCCGTCGTTAAAATCGGTAAAACGTTTATTAACTATTTAAAAACGATGAAACAAGGTGAACATGAGATTGACAATTCAATAAGTAATATTATTAAATAGACTATAGAGGTGTATAATAAGTGTTTGTAGTAATTATTCTCTTTATACGTTCCTTTACATCGAGACAGGCGTCTTTTTCATCATCATTTTCTCCACAATTCTTATTTCTTTTTTTTTTTTGCCCTTTTTCTTTATCATAGATTTTTTTCTTTAACTTACATCAAAGCCTACCTCTTTCTTTCTGTCTTCAGGCACGACCCGTGCTTAATAATCATGGCAACGCTTCTCCTCGCTTGGCTTCTCTTTTTTCAACTATCAACGGCTCTAAAAACACAGAATCTCTTCCGTCCGTAGGAAAAATAGCTCGTAGAAAGCGTACTCGTGCTAATTGTTACACCCGATCGCGTTCTACCGAAGAAACCATAATCGAATGAGGAAACGCAAAGTAGAATTCTACGAGCCCGGTCCGACCAAGGGAGAAGCAATCGCCGAAAGAATCACCGTGCAATCGACGATCGATTAATATAAACGGTATAGCGTGTGACCATTTCGACGATATAAAGTTTTAGCTTTAATTAAGCCATACCTAAACGATGCGTTCTTTCCTTAACTATCTTCTCCTCTTTTCTTATTTATCATTCGGAAATACTATGTTCAATCGACGATGGTCTCGATCACTTCGCGTTCTCCATCTCCTCGACCTTCTCTAAATTCAACATTTCACACTGGCGACCCTTTGACACGCTCTGAAACATTCTTACAACTCTTCAAATTCGTCCGTGTGAAAATGGCTACGAGGCGTTTTAATTAGTCTAAAATTTAGACTCCGATCGAACCGTTCGATGAGTCCGAACTGCGTCGCATATTTTTCATTCGCGACACGAATATATATTTCATTAGTCGGCTTTCTATGGATTGGCAGTGACCAATCGTAGAAAACTAACAGCAGAGAATAATAATCGAACGGTACACCTCTCCGACATGCTTGAGAAACCCGCTTCGATTCCACGCCTATGCTACCACCATATACCATCTCGATTACCCGGGTACAGGTATTTACAATAATATATATATATATATATATGTATACCTACTATCGTAATAATAATTTAGTAGTGGTATTTAAATTACAATAGTATTCATTCTTTCTCTCCTTAACTGTTCGTCTTCTTTCGCTCTTCGTCTATCTCTCGCGCATGCACACTTTCATACTCTCTTCCTCTCTGTATATATATATATATTTATTTATTTATATATATATAATGTTGCACATAACCCAGTACTGGCTTAGTAATCTAGCTGTACAAAACATTATATATCGCTATTCTAGCATCTAAAGATTTGTCCTGTGAGGTTTGATGAATCGTGAGGTTCGTTACATGCGTCCGGCTTTTGTCTTTCTCTCTTTCTGTTTCATTCCTAATCCTTTCAAACAGATATAAATGAATTATTCTGTTTTTATTATTTCTTTATCATTCTTTGTTCTTTCCTTCCACTTTCGATTCATTCACTACGCTCGAATTTCTTTCTAACATTTCATAACGCCTTTCTAACGAATCATTCTCGATTCCCTCTGTCTCCTTCTCATTTTTCGCCTCTTATTGCGATTAAGTACATTAAAAAATACCGCGCTACTTCGCTCAGAATTAACCGGACCAAGCGATACATATACAGTGATCGGTGAAGCCAAGTGTTATTATTATTTTATTATTATAATAAGTGTTTTTTTTTTTTGTTATTTTAATTCTGCGTATCATGTCTCTCCCGTTCCGTTCGTCGACTGTTACGCTTATTCGTCGTCGTCGTCGTCGCGATTTGCGCGTGAAAGAAAAGAAAAAAAAAAAAGAACATGAAAATTCTCCCTTTTAAGCGTCTAACGTGCTGTGCGCGTCTTGCGAGCGATCGCGACGAGGATCTACCTTAAAAATCTACTATTTTCTTTGTCGCTTTTGTGTTCGTTCGATTTCAACCGAGTCGTCGTTTATTATTCGCCTCTCTTTCTATCGCGTTTCCACGGAGGGTGCTGTACACACAAAGGCGTCGAGGTCGATCGATCGAGAAACTACGACGCGAATCATCGTTTTTCCTTTTTCTCTCTTTTACGTGTATATAAAAACACAGAGGGGTACAGCTGGATTTAGCTCGACTTCGATCGCGCGCGACTTTGATCTAATCAAGTTCAAAATCAATTTCGAGGCGAATAGACGAGCACACGGCTTTGTCATTCGTTCGTCTTCCTTCCCGGTAAAGAGTACAATGAAAAAAAGGGAGAGTGCGTATCGACGTTAGAAATTACGAAGCTCGAGTAACTGTTTTCATGTTCGTTGCAACGGGGAGGATGCATTTCTCACGGGACGTCGTGTGTTAATCGTGTCACGTACAACATCGTAGAAAAAATTCAACGCGGATACGAACGCCCGTGAGGATGCGATATCTCCTTGTTCGGTGGCTCGACAAACCCCGTTCGATACGTGGCTAATCGTGAAAAACATCGTGGTACAACGAAACACTTTTGGTATTTTTAACACTATAACACGAATCTCCCAGCGACGCTGTTCGTTTCCTTCGAAGACACTCAATAATCTATTCTAACACGGCGTAACATTCTTATTACCGTCGAGTTACGAGTTTTTATAATACTTTACTCTCCTTGCGAAGGAAATTTCGAACACGCTAACCATATCTCTTTCCTTAATCTAACCTTCTTTCCTTCAGATTGTTGCTCTCCTAATTCTTCGTGTCGTTCGTTCAATCGGTCGAAATATTTATTCGACGAGCTTCGTGAACGCGGCTGAGGCACATGCCTCGACTTGGGATTTTTTTGTATTCTTGTTACTCGATCGGGCAGGGTGTGTGTGGTGCAGGACGGGTACGGGATGGGAACGGGGAAGGCATTAGAGAGTTACTCGATTATTTTATTAAGAGCAATTAAGCTTGACGCCTCGGAGGTAGGGTCCAAGCGTTCGGACCGGGCTGAGCGTTGGGGGCAGGACGTCACAGTTGCTGGTCCCTGCACGGCACCCAAATGTTCGGTCCTGATTGCTCGGCGATCACCTCCTTCACCTTAACGTAGATCTCTTCAGGCGTGTCACCTTGTACTACGGCTGCAACAGAAAAATAAATAGCCCTCTTTTCACGTGTACCCTGACGCGTTATCGCTCGCGGATGCACCAGATGCGCATAGCCCTCCTCGCGATACGAGATTGTGAAATTCTTCAGAAGTCGGAGTGAAACATCTCGTTCACTAAAACGGCGACTTGGAAATCACTTACCAGTAAAATACTCTCCAAATTCTTGTTCCATCTTCAATGCTCGCTCGTACGTCTTCTTCGCCTGTTCCTCCGTCATCCTCTTGTTCATCTCCCTGCGAACACGAACCGTTAATTAATAAAATTCAGCTAGATGTTTTGAAAAAGTACCACTTACATAACTGACTCGACGGATTTCGGTTTGATGAAGATGGCGATCGGATACAGTTGTGCTACTTGTAACCTCTTGATGGCATTTCCGCTAACGTCAAGAATACAGTGTTTCCCCTGGAGTGATCAATTTATCTTCGTCAGTATTCGATATTCGATTTAATCCCTCGATTCGTTACCTTTTCAGCGACTTCTCGAACAGACGCGACGGACGTTCCGTAAAGATTATCGTTGTACTGGCCAGCCTCTATGAACAGATGATTTTGAATATCCCTCTCCATTTGTTCCCTGGACGCCACGAAATGATAATCCCGTCCATCCACTTCGTATTCCCTTCTACTCCTCGTTGTGTCTGAAAGATATCATTCAAATTCTTCGTGTTACCCCTTCGTGCTACCTTTCAATTAACCCCTTCCTTCGGATTGAATATTAAGCGGTTTCACTTACGTGGGACGCAGCTGCCGAATTTGTCGGGGAACTCGGAGATGAGGTCGTCGTTGATGCGATCCTTGAGAGGACCGAGGATAATAACTGGCCGAGTGTATTGTATGGTGAGCTGCTGGACTGCCTCGTACGACAGCACGTTTTCTTCGCTGCCTGCAATTTTTAGTATAAGTACATTCGACGTCACCGGGACACTGGTGGGTGTTCATGGTAAAAATAAGCTTTGTTATCCTCGGTTAGAATGTTCGCACTCTTTCAAACAAACGTTTCTCTTTACGTATCTCTCTCGATCGTCGCACAGAGTTTCGCACCTGCGTTATTGACGAAAGAGAAAGAGTTCAGAATAGAAGAGAGAATAGCGGACAGAAAATTATGGTAAAATCGTATAGATACGAGATCGGGGATCGTTAGAGTCACCTGAGCCATGATCCATGCTTTAGCATCTAGGAGATCGAAGCAGGGAAAGGGTAAGCACCCTAGGGTCTAGTACTTAGACGACTGAAGATAGAGAGGGAGTACCAAGGCCGACGTGGCATTGGTTAATGTGGCGACTATGCTAACAAACTCGAAGGGTTTACATTTCGTAATCGATACTCGACGCTACGCAACGCTAACGATTTAATAATTAACCCGGAACACCTCGTTTCTCGTTGACAATTGATTGCGTTGCATTTAACGGTGCAGCATTGCATTTATCATGTGCAATTAATTTAATACTTTATAAAAGAATGAAAAATATAACATCTCGACAGACGAGAAACGGTGTAGCTTCCTTAAAATTCTATCCAAAGTAATTAGTTGTACAGAGAGAAATCAAACGACAGAGACAAACAGATAAAAAGCACGTCGCGACTGTCCCAATTGCGCGAAGCGTATCGGCGTTTTGTTAACTGCGGGTAAATCTGGACGGGATTGAAGAGAGTTAAAAAGATAAATTAAAAGGGAAGGAAGGTAAAAGTGTGGGTTCTCGATCGAAAAACCACGTTCGATTATGTTAGTCGAGGAGTTTTAATTTCAGCATAGATATGCTGGTTCACTCCTGTTCACACACTTGACTCGTTTCATTTTATTATATCCACTTACTAAGCTCGTCATTATTCTCATCATCCTCCTTTTCCAGAGCAACTAATGTCAGTTCCTCGATATACGGCAGTTCAACACGATATAAAATTTCTCTACTCCCTGTGACGCAAGATAAATCTTTTTGTGAATGAAACAGATGGAAGAAGCGCGGCGTGAAATGAAAAGTGGAGACGAAGAATGAACGGTCGTTCGTTCGCTCGCTCGCGACGACCACGAAACGTGAAATCGTTCAGTGATAACGGATATTAGTTTCGAAGATACGCGAGCGGAATTTTAAAGCGAAAACCGGAGGATTTATTTTATTCCATCGTTGTCTCGAACAGCCACGCGATCGATAGTTTGAACAGCTATCAAAATTCGCGTTAGGATATTTCGTTACAGCGATTCTATCAATTTCGTTGATTCACATCGCGATGCCTGAAAGTAGAAATTGAAACGAATCGTCTGGACAAAAACAGTAGCAAATAAAGCTAAATTATCCGGGCTCGATTGTTTCTGGTTACCCATTTTTATCGTAGACAATGCAATTTGAAAAAAAAAAAGCGACACAATAAAGAAAATTTCAATGTTTTTAGAGAAAGAGTCAAATAATTAAGGAAAATAAAGGCAAACGTATATTTGTAGCAAATCGAAACGGTCAGTTTCTGGTGAAATAATCCGCGGTTGGATAAAATCCCAATGTTTGAAGGGTTAAAAATACTGGAGAACAAAATGGCCAGCACAGCGAGCGTTCTCGAACTGGGTAGATCCGTTAAATCGACAACAGTACGGAAAGCCAGCAGCCCTGTGCTATTCAAAAATAACAACGCGCCACGACAAAAGGACCACGCCGAACAATGCGTTCGTCCCGCGGCTGGATCGTTATATCGCGGTAATGAATGTGTGCTTTGTTAATTGATGCGACCGAGATGAAACTGACTGGTATAGGAAGAACGAGGTTGGGGGAGGGAAGAGAATACATAATGGAAACCAAAATGAAAGGCGAACAGAGAAGGGCGTAACGAAAAGAAAAAAAAAAAAGAAGATACAAATACGAGGACCATGTGTGATTACGTGTAAATGTATGTGTGTGAAATAGAGTGATCAAATGAAGAGAGAAAAAATAGAGACAGAGAGAAAGAGAGAGACGTGATTACCTTCGGTGTTAGTGTCGTCCTGGGTGTAGCACAGCATGAATGCTAAAACATAACAAGTTCAATATTTCAGTATACGTTGCGTACTAATAAGCGGCCGTTAATAATTGCTAGGATTAATTAAGCATTAAGCATGAACGACATCCGTCCTACCGTCCGGGGTAACTCGAGTTATCCGATCTCGATTCGCCAATAATCATTATTTCTTGTCTGATTTTATGCAGTGCGACTCGAGCTTCGTTGCTCTGGTTACGTGTTCCTTTATTTTAATATCGAACAGCATTAATGAGGAATATCGATTAGAGGAATCTTTAGTTTGATTGCTAGGAAACATTTTAACGACTGCAAGTAATAATATAAAAATCCACGTATTAAAATCGAAGCGGTCAAAGTATTAAGCTCGATTAATGTAAATTTCTGCATTTCACGATATTCGGATGCAGCTCTAAGAAGAACTTGCTCGCTTCTGCTGTAAACAGGCTTACTTAAGTGAGCGTTTAATCCGAGGTTTAAGTAAAACGGCCGTTCGCGAAGAAACTCTCGAGCACGATAAGGGGACATGGCGTTTTATCCGTTTGTAAATAACAGAAAACGTAGACGAGCAACATAGAAACGATCCATCGAAAGGTTAGCCAAAAGGTTAGCGACTTAGTCGGGTGAACTATCGCAAAGCATGCTCGATGTTTAGTGAAAACACAGAGAAAACGCATAATGCGAGTGATTATTATGTGCAAGGATGAAAAGGATCGTGGCGTGCTAAGCAAAGAAGAACGTACGAAAAAGAGAGACCTTCTTGAGAAGTGTAAAAAGTTTACATAGGGTCGCTTGATTAACGTTTCTGTCCATCTTTATTGTTCAACTATTATTTTATTTAATTTTGAAGTGTGTACCGTCCACCCAACGAGACGAGACAGTAAATGAGTATAAATTCACGTGCTCGAAGCAGGCCCGATTCACGGTACACATCCTTCAACCGAAGCGTTTGAAGAACTGGAAACAACTGAGCTCCGTCCCTGAGTCGAGCGCGTGAATTTATAAACATATAATGACTCGTCTCGTTCGACGGACTATATTGCACCGCGAGTACGCGTGTAATTATCGTATGAACGTTTTGATGATGTAAGTACGTGTACGTGTATGATCGTATCTTGTTTCTTCTTGTTGAAACTAACTTGGAATACTTACGTGTAGGATCGTTTTCGTTCTCGGGTGTCGTGGGCGACCCTACACAAGCAGGCAAAAACAAAACACATGTCACGTTTTCACATGGTAAAAAAAACACAAAAGCTCAATCGGAAGTTGGGCGTAATCGTCGCACCTGTCACGGATTACTAAAGCTATCATCCGAGTCGACGAAAGTGATTTAAAGAAAAATTTAATAAATTCATCGACCTTCTGTTTCTGATCGGTCGGATCGTATCTGACGCGCGTTCGATAAACTTTCTACGTGAACATCAATCGACAAGGAGAACGTAAAAAAAGGTTAAACGCTAAATACGAACAAGAAAGACACAATCGAGGCTACGAAAGGTTACGAACAAAGTTCGGCAGTCGATTTTGTTTGTTAACAAAAATCTGCACGCCGGTATAGATCTTTGTAATGGGGGTCGGATTCAAGACACACGTGACAGAGAAACAATAAAAATATAGATACTGACTTGTAAATTCAAACACACGGTCTAGATATAATAGATATACGTATATAAAAATAGTGACTTAGAAATACGAGAATAATAATAATAAAAAAAGATAAAAAATAGTCACGTAAAAACCACAATAGATACGGGTCTGAACATGCACAGAACGTGCAGGATACGATGATGTTTCAAGAGACACTCACGTTCCTGGTCCGAACCGTCCTCGGATTTGTCGTCCTTGCTCTTCATGAATGGGAACTTCCTGCTGAACGAGAAGTTTTTCTTCTTCCTATCCAATGTCGATTGCTGCAATCCATCGATCTTGTGTTACGTAAATGCACAACGGAGAAGGTGATCAAACAAAGTGAACTTCGATTTCTTATAATTAATCGAGGAATTCGGACGGGAACACAAATTGAATTATTAAAAAAATAAATAAAATTTGATATCTTCGATTGTACGATACGCTCGATCGATCAAGCTTACCTTGTCGAGGATCACCGGCATGTGGCCCTGGAACTTGACAGAGCGATCCCTGGCGCGTTGCTTCCGTTCCCATCGTCTGCGAGACGGTATTATGCCGAGACCTTCCTCATCACCCTGAGGAGTTACTCTTCTAGCTTGCCACCATTCGTCGTCGCTTGCATTCGTCACGTGTAGGATTTCACCGTAGCGGAATGCCAAACCGCGGCTTGGCAGACCGTCATCCTTGTTGGGATCGTAATCGAACAACGCTCTGGAACAATTAATATCTTATGTTAGTATTACGACAATTTAATCGACGATCTTTAAATCACTTACCTAACGTAAAGTGATTTCTTCTGCGAGGTCCTCATGAGGGTGCCTGTCATCATATTCTGCTGGGAAATTTGTTGTTTAAGATCATGGATCTTCGCCTCGAATCTGTTGTAATCTTCGGGCTTGTACTGCACCACGATCGTCACTGTCTGCCCGGTACCCTGCGCACGCGTATCGAAATCTTAAGTTTGTTTATGTATTTTAAAGACGATTTTGAAGATGGTTGAAAGTGAAATGGTACCTTAAGGGCTGCCGCAGCCTCCTCGTGGGTGGCTGTCCGAAGATTAATGCCATTGACGCTGAGTATCTGATCGCCACGTCGCAGTTCACCGCTTAGATCGGCCGGACCCCCGGCTAGGATGAAGGAAATGAAAATTCCCTCGCCATCCTCACCGCCGACGATATTGAAACCCAGACCGGAGGAACCTTTGTTCAGCACGACTGTGCGTACCTCTCTGGGAAAGTAATCAAGAAAAGGGTTGGATGATTAATAAGTTTACATAATCTTTCATGTGCCTCTTCCACGACAGATTAATGTCTTAAGCGAAGTACTTCGTTTCTTTATCAAAAAATATGAATTTATTCTGCTCCGCTCACTTTGTATTACAAGCGTGAGAAGAATTATTTTCCGCTTGAAAAACGACTAAATTAAAGAGCCGGTGATAAAGTAATATCTCTGGAGAAGAAGCATTCGATGATTGTTGCTCGAGAAATAAAAAACGCGGGGGTGTTTCTTTTCCCTTCGCCAAGAGGATAAAGTTTTTTCATTAAGGATCCACGTGGTGGTATCGAGTTCTTAAACTATGTCGCCGTCCATTAATTGCTCCGCCTCTCGCAGTACTTTAATTAAAGTCACCGCGCTGGAAAGACAGCCGCGTACGCGCCGGAATAACTTTCAAGCGCCACGAAGCTTCGAACACGCTTGTAATTAAATACTTTTAATCCGTCTCCGAGTTGGCCGATTAAACACTGCCATACTCGTGTCCAGTCAATTGAACGTTATTGACAGAAGACTCGATAAAACGAGCTGAGCGTTGGAAATAATTGTAAACCATCGGCTTGCGAGAAGTATGGAATATTAAACTATTAATCTACGGACAGCTGAACGTTCATGAAACACGCCATGAAACGAAGAAAATTGAAATTCGATTTCACGAATCGTCTTCAAAGCGTTCGTCATTGAATCTCCTATATAACTCGACACCTAAGATATTTATACCTGCTTTATGGGAAAGCAACGGATTTTCGCAAATATCACTCGACGCGCAGCACGTATGCAATCCCACACATAACGGAAAGCAACGAGTACCTCTGGCAAGTAGGCGTACGCAGCGAAATTACAGCGTTAATTAAGACCTCCATTGAAATTCGACCGTTTCGAATTGCCTACACGGGAACTCGAGTATTTGCCTCTACAACGAGCGGCGCAAGACCAAGTACTCGTGAAAATGACGAGTAGTCGGGAACACGTGTCTTCTCGAAGGAATTTCTGCACGTAAGGAGTTGCACAGCTTCGTGTCACGCGGAAATGGGCTGTCTCTTACCATCAGAACACACGGCGACGCGATTGTCTTCAATTGCTATACGACTATTTTGGGTATACAAATAATGATCTTAAGAAATCTGTCATTAAAGTAGATAAATCGTGGGATTCAAAAGGTAATTCAATTTTGAGGTTTCAAAATTATCATAATCGAGCTAGGGAATTTGAAATTCATTGGTATCGGATTCGATTGCACCTAACGACCCAGAGGTTAATGTAATAGAACCCTATATTCTGTGGGTGTCGTTAACAGAATTCGAGGGTTGTTCCAGTTGAATGCTATCATTAGAGCGTCGTTGATTTCGACATAACCATCGAGAGATCATCCGAGCCAAACCTCGAAGCTAGAATTCATTAAAGAAACAATTAATAAAAAGAATAGTAGATACATTGAAACCTTGAATCACAGTTCTCCTGTGACTGTCTTAATTAAGCCACTCTTTTAACAGTTCAACGACCCCACGAAAATTCACAAAGTTGAGAAGCGCCAGTAATGGAGGGGAAAAAGTGGGATGTTCTAATTAAAATTTTCGTGAAAATCCAAGCCCATTCCAGAGGGCTCATCGTTTAAGAGCGTTACCCGGATTCACCCTTTCTCTGTTGCTCTCATCCCTTCAGCTGGAGGAAGGGATCTCTGGAAGGGTCCATTTTCATCCCGTTTCAGAGTACCCGCTCAACCCGCCCAGTCTTCCCGTTTGCGTTAACAAAGACCACACATTTGTGGCCGACCGGTGCAGCTGCGTATCCATTCCTTCATTAAAGTCGCGCAGCAATGCACACCATGGACAATCTAAAGGGCGATAGGGTGATCCGAAGTACAGCGAATTTAAGGTGAATTTAAAATTTGGAAAATCGAATATTTTTCTTAATGAGATTACATTCGACCTTACTTTATTCCGAGTAAATGCAACGATCACAGTCACGGTCGAGGACCGAAGGACCGATCTGGATCATGAAATATTTATAACGACGGTAATGGGAGGCACGATTTCATGGTTAATTGACTGTCGACGGTAGCTGCGAGCCTCGTCGGCGAATTCATGAATGACTTCATTTGGTTAAGGCTCGGCTACATCGAGGTACGTCCGCTTTAAGTGGTCGCATACGTTTCAACCAACGTAAAGGTCGTCCTTCGTAGCGAAATGACCACGGGGCGCCTCGGTCCCCGTGGAATGCAGCTTGACGAGAATTCATCGAGCAGAAACTTCGGTGCAGATGCAAAACGAACGACCTTCTCCTCTTCGAAATTGATTTTCCTTCACGGTCGAGCCTGTCTCGTGCAACACGATAACTTCGTAAGCACACGACGTGGGCGAGTGAACAATTTTTAGAACAGATCGTGGCTTATCGTTCGTGAAAATCTGATATCGATCTCTGTAATAGCAAAAAATTTTCAAAACCCAAGGGTAAGGGTAATTTAAGAACAGAGACGTTACAGGCGACGCGTCGCACGCGAGTTTCAGCTGATCCAAATCCTACCTGCGCACTGCGCCCGAAACTCTGGCCTCGATCCGTGCACGTTTCACGCACCTGTTCGACGTTGTTCCGCAGTGACGGAACACGCGTGGATTCGTTACGGGATTCGAAAATGTCACTGGGTCAAGAGGGCTCGATTTTAGGTGAAAAATTCACCAAACTCGTTCCAACACCTGGATACGTCCGAATCGAAAGAATATGTATTCAACGAGTATCGAACAGAAAATGTGCAAACGTTGACGAACATCTGCTGTTTCTTTTCAAAAGAAAGCCTACAATTACGGTTTAATTGGAAGGGTGCAATACGAAGGGTACGCAGGCACTTGCATCCACATAAAACGTTTCACAACGAAAAGGGAAAATTATCATCGAGCTACCTTTACCGGGAGCAGGTGTGCTCACCTTGATCACTCTTCGAAGCAATAGGCTGTTCACTGATCCGCTACGATAATCAGAGTCCACCGATCAACTATTCCGATGCTCGTCACCGCGTCGCGACGCATGCCACGCTGATGCGCGACTCGCGAGTGCGACCAGGCACCTGTTCTTCGACGGTGACGTAACGCAGCTAGTTCCCTAGGGTGGCCTGGTTCCACGATTGTTCTCACGGGAGGAACTGGCACGAGACGAAAGTCGATCGCGTTTTCCGCGCGCGATTCGCCAACAGATTTAACGACGAACGGAAAAGGTGTTTGCGTCTCGAACGCGTCCCGACATCGGGGGCGTCGCGACGGATTAAAAGCCGCATAGCCGTGTCGCCATGCGCCGCGCCGGCCCCCCCAGGGCTATCATCAGATCGATAGAAATAAGCTGAGTCTCGCGTGTTTCCACCACCCTTACTACCAACCTCCCCCTCCTTCATTCACCCCTCTTTGCTTTCCAAGAATTTCCCTTGATACGGAAACCGGGCCAAACGAAGGGAAGTTTTTAGGGAAGGGCTGTCATCCGACGATCGGTCACTTTCCATTTTCAAATGCTTTTCATATAAGGTTTCTATGTTTGGGAAATTTCATTGGGGGGTTGATGGACGGTGATGGGTATCGTGTGCTTTATTTACCAGCTGTTAGGAAATGTTTGTACGGGATGATGATAGAAAGCTACAAGTGAATTCAGAATTGATTAGATTAAATGGGTGTGTTCAAATAAAGAGTACATTCGATGTTATCGTTTCAAGGTAAAAACTTGACCGATATTTCGGACACACATTTCCGCTTGAATGGAAAACTTTGGTAGGAGAGTGTATCGGATTTGTATAACCGTGGATCACGGCTAATTGCAACGGCGACCGTAATCGAAGCCAACCTTGCGACAATGGAAATTTCACCCGAACGAATCGCTTTTTCGATTGACCTACTTACACCATCCACTGCTCTTTCGTGTCCGTGTGTTTTACCAACAAATACGTTTCACCCATCCCGGAAACTTCGTCGCTTTTTGGAAACGGGACGCTTTCGAACTCGCGTTAGAATTGAAGGATTTTACTGTATTTTTATTTCTATATTTCTGTTATACTAAGTTGATAAAATGTCAACCCTTAGAATGTTAAATCGACACACTTGAACTGCCAAAATTAATAAAATTTGATTTATTAATCTTATGTTATTTCAAACAATTTTCCCAAAAGAATTGCATACCTTTAAAGAGAAATTTACCCAATAATTTCGGTCGAAAACTGATACGATTTCCTTTGCAGAGGAATTTTCAGTAAAATCCGGTGAAACTCTGAGGTCGAATTTTCTGCGTGTAGCCGTTCTAATCCGTCCCGGAAATCCACGAATCGGGGCTTAAAATTACCGAGAGAAATACTGTGTTGCATTCGGGGCAACGGATCAAAATTATTGGCTAACAAACTTGTCGTCTCATTAAGTAAATGAAACGGGCCATTTTACAAACGCCATCCCCGTTTACTGGCTTACCCTTAACCGGCCGTTTGCGTATTCGTTTAATTAAAACCCGCCCGGCCACCGGGGTCCGATAACGTTGTCAGTTGACGAACTTTAATCAAGCCGGACTTGACCCCAAAACGTTGAAACAACGCGACACTAGAGCTACGCCCGTGAAACAAGGAGTGCCAGCTTCGACCCTTGCTCTTTATTAAGGACGCTCGTTCGCCGTGTATCACCTAGTCCTTGAACCTCCTTCGTCAAACCCTTCCTCCATCTCTATCTACTTTATTTTCAAACCTACTTTCTCCTTTCTATTCCGTCTATCGGACATTGAAACGCATTTAATCGCTTCGCGTGGAAAAAAAGGAGATGCACGGTGTCGTAGCAAGGGACACGTGACACGGCGGACACTTCCGGTGGATCCTTTGCTAATTGCGGAAAACACTTGACCTTGTTACGCTGGACGAGCACGTGGAAAGAGTTAGACGGAAACGGGTGACCTTTGAACAGGAAGGCGCAATTAGTAGGACGAAGGTGTGTTTCGTTTTTC